TATTATCCAGCTATTTCTCATATATCACATACAGAAGTGAACGATTACCGTAACAGATTACTCAGACTATAATTTAACACATCTAAACTAGTAATGCCGGCAGTTTACAAGTTTACTGTAATTGATAAATGAAACACTTTAAGTCAGTTGTAAGTGCTACAAATAATTGCTATAACAGTGACACAGAAATCCCTCTATTCAGTCAGATAAAGAGTAGCCCAAGAGGTGGATTGAGTGCTGTTGACTAACTTCTTTAATTATATCAGTTCCAAATAAGGGTTTGGCTCTGCACAGATAGCACTTTGTATAGCTTTTCACAAAAATTCAGAAACAATTTATATACCAATACACTTTTGATATCTGTTAGTATTTTGCCCCCTCCCCCTCAGCTTCTGTTATTGGATAATTTTAGTTCATATTATTGACAGTTAAATTAAATTATCTTCAGTTGCATATGCTTAAGTGAGAGTGGGAGAACTTGTCATGTAGGAGAACTGATAATATTGTAATTAATTACTTCCAATTAAAGGAAAGCATAAAAAAAAAACCTCCAAGACAAATGAAAGTACAATTTAGATAAATTGTGTTAATTCTGTTGCGACATTAGAAATAGGATTATGGGTACAACATAATGTTTTCATTTCAGACTCCACTACATTATTCAGCTGCTTCTACACATGGTGGTGGGTGTTTAGAAGTCCTTATCAGAGAAGGTGCCAATGTCAATGCTCAAGTATGTTTTATTGCCTTTTTTTTTTCAATTATTAAATGGGTGTTGTGGACGAATATTTAGAAAGAAGCTTAAAATAAATGAAATAATTGATAATAGATATTAAGAAAGAAAAAAGAAGTCATAAGTTTCACATTAAAGATATGCTCTAAACATGTTTACTTTTTTGAGCTTTAATCTTTCTGAAGCTAGGTTAAACAGATAGCTTTAATCTATGTAAAGCTAGTTTAAACAGATAGCTTTAATCTTTCTAAAGCTAGGTTAAACAGATAGCTTTAATATATGTAAAGCTATGTTAAACATATAGCTTTAATATATGTAAAGCTAGGTTAAACAGATAGCTATAATCTATGTAAAGCTAGGTTAAACAGATAGCTTTAATCTTTCTAAAGCTAGGTTAAACAGATAGCTTTAATCTTTCTGAAGCTAGGTTAAACAGATAGCTTTAATATATGTATAGCTAGGTTAAACAGATAGCTATAATCTATGTAAAGCTAGGTTAAACAGATAGCTATAATCTATGTAAAGCTAGGTTAAACAGATAGCTATAATCTATGTAAAGCTAGGTTAAACAGATAGCTATAATCTATGTAAAGCTAGGTTAAACAGATAGCTATAATCTATGTAAAGTAGATTAAACAGATAGCTTTAATCTGTATAAAGTTAGGTTAAACAGATAGCTTTAATATATGTATAGCTAGGTTAAACAGATATCTATAATCTATGTAAAGCTAGGTTAAACAGATAGCTATAATCTATGTAAAGTAGATTAAACAGATAGCTTTAATATATGTAAAGTTAGGTTAAACAGATAGCTATAATCTATGTAAAGCTAGGTTAAACAGATAGCTATAATCTATGTAAAGTAGATTAAACAGATAGCTCTAATCTGTGTAAAGTTAGGTTAAACAGATAGCTATAATCTATGTAAAGTAGATTAAACAGATAGCTCTAATCTGTGTAAAGTTAGGTTAAACAGATAGCTATAATCTATGTAAAGTAGATTAAACAGATAGCTATAATCTATGTAAAGCTAGGTTAAACAGATAGCTTTAATCTATGTAAAACTAGGTTAAACAGATAGCTTATTATTACTGACATTTTTTGAATGACAGGATGTGATAATTAATTTACGAAAAGATACATAATTTATGTTAAATTCAGGGCATCGTATAACGGTGGTGAGAAAATCAAAAATGGGAAATTGGTAGCGAAGAAGTGTCACATGATACAAACAAATTGAGAATTTATTTAAACATTTCCTTTTGAAATTAAGAAATTAAAGCTTATATGATATTAACCTTTGAATTATAAACTACGTTTTAATGCCAAGTTTATTGTTATATGCTGATAATAAAATTGTTTAATTAAATTTTGAATGTAACTCTTTTAAAAAACGGTTGTGGCGTGTGCACTTTGACTACCCAAATCCATTGGTTTACTTTGATATTAATTATGTCTATTTATTGAGGAATGACAGCGAAATTCAACCTGTGCTGACATTTCTCAAGTGAACTGTGTGAACCCATTTCAGGTTTGATTGCATGTTCTTGATAAGTGTCATGCTGGTTATAAAATGTGTAAAGCTTGAAGCAAATATTAAGGGAATACAACCTGTTTAAGTTTGAATTTAAAACAATGCTATCAGGTTGATGGCACAACCTGCCAATTATGAAGCTTATTTAACCAAAAGTGCTTTCATAAAACTTGTGAAATGTGGTTTTTAGAAAACTCATTTTATCTTAGTTTAACTGTCTGGATTCATTAAAGTTGCTTTTAGGCATCCAATAAACGTTTTTTATAAGTAAGTTAAAAAGAGTATTCCATTAAATTAAATTAAATTTTGTAGTATTAGTTGTTTTTGATCATATTAAATATATTTTTCATCATTTTCTAAATACACCAAACATAGAAATGTGAGTGTCAGTTAAAAAAAAAATTAATCCAAAGAGATTTTTTTTCAGCCATTCTTTATATTTATTATTGGTGGGAAGTTTTTATTTCTGACAAAAGAGAGATTTAGATGCATTGCATCCAAACAACTTGGAGTAAATGTATCTACCTGAAAGGTTCTCGGGTCACTGTAGTTTTAGTGGGTGATAAAAACATTATCATCTGTTTAGGCAAAACCATCAAAATTTGCCTCAGCTTGAGGAAATATTGGACTTACTGTGGTCAATTACATGTTCATTTGATATTATTTATTTGCTTTTTTTTTAATGCCGTTCATGTGTTTAGGTTCATGTATTACTAAACAACCCAATTTTATGAACATATTCTTCACTAGATATTCCTCATTTAGATGTTTTTTGTGTAGCGAATGTAAATTTGACGATTATTTAATGTTAATCTCTGAACAAAAAATGCAACCTGCGTAGGCCAGAACTAAGAATAAATACTGTGATAAATATAGCTGATTTAATATGCTATCTATACATTTTAGCTTATAATGATTATAATATATTATTTCATCATTTGGTACCCTCACTGCTTGCTATAGTCCCATTAATGTCTTGCAAAGTTCAGCCAGTTTAGGAGATTCATGTTGAAAATAGTCCTAAATTTGCTACAAAGCCTACAGTGCAAAATAATCCATAATAATATATTAAATATGATTTACTTCATTTAGAAAGTATGCATTTCTTCAGGATTCTTTAAAAACCCTCGGAGAGTTTCATTCTCGTGTCTCAGCTTGATTAAATCTAAAATAATTTATTAATGATTTGCTGTAAAATAAGTTTTAGGTATATAAATTTGTGAACAGTGTAAGAATATGTAGTTAAGAGCTTATATATTTGGAAATTAAAATAAGGTTTGGTAAATGTTTGATTAGAAATTGTAATATGCTGAAAGATGTATCATGTAATAATTATAAAACGTACCAAAACGAATGTTGTGACAAAATTGTAAGAGTATAATACAAAATTGGTTTGACTTACACACCATAACACAAAAAAAGCTCTCACTATTTAGCATTTTCTGAATTTTAGGTGGTTGTTTTCATAACCATGAAAAACCTCATGAGATGCAGAAAATTCACCAGAATAAAGTTAATTTTCTTTAGTATTAAACATAGTATAATTTAGATTTTTGTTTCATTATAGTCTAGAAAAGTATACTGTAATGGTGGAGTTTTAGTTTTTCTGACAGTTGAAGTTGAAGATCAGTACTGATATTTTCCTAAGTTTGACATTTTAACTACAGTGTGATATATTTTGGAGAACAGAGTTTGCACCTTTAAAAGGGCAAAAAGCTAATTTTGCTGACTTCAGACTATATAAACAAAAAAACTTCTTGCACATGTCAAATTATTATTCTTTCTTTTTTCTTCTGTTGTAGACTCGAGATGGCCGGACTCCACTCCACATGTCTGCCATCCATGGAAGGTTTACTCGTGCTCAAACACTGTTGGACCATGGTGCTGTTGTAGACTCCATGGACAAAGTTGGATTCACACCTCTTCACATTGCTTCACGTTATGGCCACGAGCTCCTAGTCGTCCTTCTCCTCTCTGCCGGAGCTGATGCTAACAAGTTAGTATACGTTCTTTGTCTTTTCTGCCTATGTATGCAATATGATACAATATGTTATAACTTAAAGGACAGTTTTGTTAATATTCTGCTCACAAATGTTTTGAACATCTAAACTTCATGACCTTTTCTGTAGGCGTGGTGATGGAGGCATGACCCCTTTACATCTTGCTGCATTACGTGGCTTTTTGAACTGTTGCAGTAAACTCATTGATGCTGGTAAGTGTCAAAATATACCGTTAAACCATTTAGTAATTAATTTTGTACTTCTTGAGTTACTCTGTCCCAATAAAAAATCTTCATTTACTGAAACTGTTTTAATCATGATTATAAAGAACAAAATTATTTATAAGTAATAAGATTAATTAATTTTAAACCTATATTTAATGCCTTAATATGTTTTTTGGAAGATACACTTTTCTTAAGTAGTTTGTTACGTTGTAGTTATTTATTTCTACATGATAAATTATATTATGTTGTTTTTTTATGGCTTAGAGAGAAGATAGATTACACTTTGGTCAAGCAACAAGAAAATAAGGTGTCAGTTTTGTGTTACACATCAATAAATATTTTTATACCAAGCATAAATGTGGTATCATCATTTTTAATTTTTCAGATAATTATTTTGCTGCAGCAAAGTAAGAAAGTTCAATGACGAGGAACCCACTTTAAGACTAATAATGGTTGGAGACAGCTTGAATGGATAATGAAGAAAAACTTTAATATAAGTTTAACATAACAGCAAATGTACAATGTTTCGACAATGTTTTGTTGTCATCAGGTAATGATGACAAAACCTTGTACATTTTTTATGTTAATCTTATATTAAAGTTTTTATTCGTTACCCATTCAAGCCGTCTCCAAGCGTTAAAAGTAAGAAAGATTCTCAGCTATAAATCAGGCCCTTGTTTCGTTTTCTTGAATTTGCAAGTCTTACTGTGGTGAAATATTATCATGCTGTTTAAATTAAAGCATCACTGTAACAGTAAGATTTTATAAGAATGTGATGCAATTACTGTCATAATTTGTACTGTTTTTTATATCTTAGAAAAAGGATCTTGTAGAAAATTTAAAACATTTATGTAATATGTAGTGTGTTGTGTACAATAATTTGATTTTTATCAGTAATTTTTATTGCCTGAAAGCTGCTTTAAAATGTGATCTTGACTTTTATTCACACTAAAAGTATGTTAGGTAATAATTTTATATTAGGCTTTTACAGAATTTTTTAAAATATTATTTGCATTAAAATTATAAAATATATCATATAATACTGTCTTCACATAAAAAAAAACTATTCCTTACTGAAGTTCCCCACCCCTACAGTGTTTCAGCTTGTGATGTTAAAAACAGAGTTTGATACCACTGGTGGGCATAGCACAAATAGCCCATTGTGTAACTTTGTGCTTAATAACAAGCAAATATAACCAAAGCACAGAACATGATTGGTAGTTCATATGTCAATTCATCAGATTGTTATTTGATTGGTAGTTCAAATGTCAGTTCATCAGATTGTTATTTGCTGTCATTGAATTTTATAAAATATAGGGAAATGACAAATTTTACAGGAAAAAAAATACTGTAATTTGTTTCTTTTAATAAGCAGTTTGCATGAGAGATTATATGTGTAGTTTCAAAACAATTTAATATTTTAAAGTGTCTTTTTAAATTGATACATCAGTGAAATTTGTATTCTTTAGAAATATGCAACAAGCATTATCAGGGTGAAACTCTTATGTTAACAAAATTATGATATGTATTTATTCATACAGATTTGTTGTTTCTTTGCAGGGGTAGATTTTGCAGCTAAAGATGACAATGGAAGAAACGTTGTACATTTAGCAGCATTTGGAGGGTATTGTCTCGGAATTTTTTTTTATTAATTTGACTATTTCTTCTATTTAATTTGGAATAATTCTGCAAAATAAATCATGAACAGAATTCTCAGGGTTAGAAAAAGTCGGAGAATTATATATTGTGGTCAGAGAAATTAGAAATAAATCATGAACAGAATTCTCAGAGTTGGAAAAAGTCGGAGAATTATATATTGTGGTCAGAGAAATTAGAGTTAGAAAAAGTTGGAGAATTATATATCGTGATCAGAGAAATTAGAAATAAATCATGAACAGAATTCTCAGAGTTAGAAAAAGTCGGAGAATTATATATCGTGGTCAGAGAAATTAGAGTTAGAAAAGGTCAGAGAATTATATATCGTGGTCAGAGAAATTAGATTTTATGTAATGATCAGGGAAAAGTGAGGGAATTTTACAAAATGCTTGGAATGTTGAAATATCAAGTAATTATGTTCAATATTTATGATGTGTATAATTTGTGCATTTATACAAAGGTGTGTCTTTAAAATATTTAAGTTATCATTATGGTATATATATATATGTAAATAATAGGATGGGCTATTTGAATAAATGAGAGAAAAGAACAGCTATAAGGAGTAATGGAAAGCAATACCCTAATCCTAGCAAATCAGGTTATATTATCTGGTGTATTTTTTGTCATTTGTTCAGGTTTGTATTATATAAAATGTCAGAAACTTCAAGCATAGCTTAAGTAAAGCAATATCTTTGTTTTGGAGTTTGAGTTAAAATTCTTTTTCTTGATTTTTAATTAAAATATATTTCCTGGAGATGGTAATTCCAATTTGCTTGATCAGTTAAGTTGTAATTGCTATATCTGTGTTTTAAAAAAATATTAAATAACTTGAGGATTACTTTATAGGAGATTAATGTGTAGAATATGTTCTAAACAAAATTATTACTAACTTTTTTTATTCATTTCAGGAGCTTTGAATGCTTGGATCTTTTTATACATCATGGTGCAGAGTATACTATCTGTGATAGATTTAATCGGTAATGTGAACATAAATATTTCTTAACTAGATGTTAATTTTACTCTATTTGGTGATGTACGTAAGAATAAAATTTTTCTTTTAATGAAGTAAAAGTTTTGTAACCAATTTTCTTCAGTATATGTTATGCATACAAATATTATGAAACCTACTTTATTTTATCAACTGTGTTATAAATGTGATCCAGGACATTCCTTCATAGTTTATTCTAGAGCAATGGTTCTTAAACTTTTTTGGCAGCAACCCAAATTCTGGTCACAGGGCTCGCTCGGTGACCCATGCCTTCAGATAGACACCCCTTGACACAGCCACTGTTGGACTATGAAGGAAGGTATGCACAGTCACTGGAGACCCTTGGTGACCTAGTTTTGGGCTGCGACCCAAGGTTTAATAACCACTGTTCTAGAGCAAGTTAAAAATGTATTGTTTACCAGGACAATCTTACTTTAAATCAGTTTCTAATATATTGTTTTAATAGCTGAAGAACATACCCTCTGGCTCATTATAAAATGAATTATGAATATGTTTATCTGGAGAAGGTAATGTTTAGTTTACTGTAGATTACCTTAGGAGTTAGATGTTTTCCTGTTTTAATAATCGGCATGTACTACATACACTTTTAATAAGAACAATCAATTGAATAAACAACTCTAAGGTGTTTTTAATATCTTAAGCTGTAAAAAGATGCAAAGATTCTGTTACGAGAAAATTTAAAATTGTTGATAAGTTGTTTTTAATTAATCCTTGTGTTATAAAACATCTAACTCTTCTATACATCCTTTTAAAAAAATGTGTTGCTTAAAGCAACAAACTGACCTAGTTGTTGGTTAAACTCCTGTATTGACAAAGATGTAAAAGTATACATTTTCTTGTAACAAATTACAGTTAAGTATGACATGTGAACTGAGTGAAATGCTGCCTATTTGTTTCTTTGTCATAAAGAAGCTATATGCTGTATATATTTTTATTTGTGATGGTTTGATCCAGGCTACCTCAATCCAGAATATTTTAGTAATGCATTGTTGAGCTAAAAATTGTAATGTTCCCATTAAATTCTGATATAAGCTAACAATGTATTGGAGCATAATCTTTAATCAAACACACATTTATTATTCTTAACTTTGTTTAATGCAAACTGGAGTTTATTATGAGACATTTCTATAAACGTAAATAAAATCACGACCTACGTCTTCAGAATGTAATTTTATTAGCTCAATATTTTGCTATTACAGCTTTGTCAGGAACCGTTTATATCTGGAGATATAGGTTGTGATGTTATTTACGTTTATAGAAACACAAGATTAGGTTTGCAAATTGTAGACCCTTTTGCTTGTAGGCTTCCTATTCACTATGCAGCAAGTCAAACTCATTACTCATGTCTTGTGTTTCTGCTTGAGGCCAACACTGCAGTCAACCAACAAGATGTGGAAAGATGCACACCATTACATTATGCTGCTTCTGCTGATGCAGAAGGCCGGTAAGATAGGTATTAGAGCTTAACTAATTGAAGAAAAATACATTTCTCAGTACGTATAAATTAATATTGCTGGAAATTGTGACCGTCAAATAATTCCTAAGGCATGAAATTAGTTTTACATTTATGTTAAGAATAAATTCTTCCAATCATTTATTGGTATGTTACAAAAAATGTGACAAATTGTTAACCCTCTGCATACAGACTCGGTTAATTTGACCAACCTTGTAACCACCATGAAACTCTATATACTATAATTGAATTTACTATTGTATCTTCAAGAAATTTGGCAAGCTTTTATAAAACATTACAAGTCTCTTGTACAAATAACATCAGATTGTTTTCAAAACGTATCTTTACGAAAGATTTATGAACCTTGATCAGTCTGAGTAAAAGGTGATTTTCATGCTTAAAGTAATAATTCTTTTTATCTTAGTTTTAAATTTTAATAGAAACTCCTAAATAAATATCAAAACAGTTTTTTACTAAAACTATGTTATTTTTCATTAGTTCTAATGAAATTTTCCAGGAATAGTGAAATTAAAAATTTCAAAATAAAAAATCAAATAAAAATATCTTTTTTTTATCTTTCTAGAATGACAACAAATTATTTTGAGTGAAAAAAGTGGTAATTGAAAACAGCCAATTACAAATATATATCCTAATCACCTCATCTTCTATCTTTTTTACATCTGCTTTCTTTTAGTTTTATTGCTGTACAGTGTGGTCTAGACACTCACAGTACTGGAAAACCCAAATTTCAGCTTTAATATAATCCAATGATTAAGGCACAGTCACATTAATTTCTGTGCTTGGTTTCCTTGAGCTAGGATATTGAGTGACAACAATAATTTTTTTCTTTTAAGTTTTTATCTAATATAAGATTTTAACTTACATTTTAGGTAGTTTTGTTAACAAATATATATAAAAACAGGTAAAAAGTATACATAAAAAACAAGAGATTTGGCACTTAACTGATCCTTAAAGCATTTTATACACTGATGCATGGTTTAGTAAAGTTGTATTTTGGTTGTTCACAAAATAATTCATGTCGCTCTCAAATGTGCATTTTAGAACACAAAAAGTATATCAGGCAGTAGAATAGAATGTGCCGAAATTACTACAATTTAGAACTGCATAAAAAGTACATCTAAACATTAATAAATGGATACTGCCAAGGGACTGACTAATTTAGTATAACTTAATGCACCACAGTGATGCATTTTTGTATATTTTATAATGATTTTTAGGTAGACAAAGATCAAAAATGTTTTAAATTTTTCCAGTAGTAGTTCTTTATAAAATTTGACCACGTGTTTGGAAAAGTTATTTAAATGTTACTTTTGATAAAGTAATTTTTTTTATCAAGCTAAGTTTTAATATAAGAATTTATATCCTTGGCATCTGTTGTCTGCAATTCAGCTTCTTATGACCCATGGTCACTAACAAGAAAAATAAAAAGAATGCATGCTAGAAAGTGGAAGTAAATATTCTTTTTTTTATAATTTATTGTATATATATATGTTGTTGATACTACATAAATTATTTTCCAAAAGAAATTATTAAATACATGTGTAAAAAGTTAATAATTTAGACTAAGGTAAATTTGTACTGTTAATTCAGAATTAAAGGTAATATAAATAACAGTATATATTTTTCAATCACTGGATACGAGTAGATAATTGTGTAGGTAGATATTAAATTCCTTTCATTTGCTACTGAAATATGGTCAAAGATTTTTTAACCTTCTTCACCATATTCAGTAATTTTAGTTGCATCATATTTTATTGAAACAGATTGGACTTCTGAATTCAATTGTTAAAATTTGGCATTTGAGTCAAAATGTAATTGTCGTATAATATTCAAAGAATATAAATTAAGTTTGCACACCATTATATTCAGTGTGGTTTGTGGAATATTTAATGTTGTGTTAATATTAATGCCAAGGATATTTTATGTTAAATATTTCCCTTGTTTTATTACAAGATGGTTTTCTCTGCAGCTGTGTTTCCTGCCTTCTAAGTCAGGGTGCAAATGCTAGTCTCAGAGATAGTCGAGGATATACTGCTGTCCACTATGCTGCTGCTAGTGGTCAGTGTGCTGCCTTACAGACAGTAAGTATGTTTGAGATTGAAATAAGCTCTTTTGGTAAAAGGAAGCCTGTTTTTTTTGTGTTTATAAATGTTTGTATACTATTCCTGCTGAAATGACACCATGCTCACTTTTGTAAGATTGAGGAAAAGTTTTGTTTCCTTATTGTAATAAAAAGAAAATCCAAGGTTTTAAAATATTAGTATCTTTGTTTTTTCCCTCTGTTATATATTGCTCAAAACAACTTAGGAATAATTGAGGTGTTCTATTTACTACCTATGACAGAATCTAGTTCCTTTTATCAAATAATGTTAATAGAAATTGTGTGTTAGGTGACTGGTCATCCATTAAATAACACTTTCTGATCCTTTATCAGAATCTAAAGTCTGTAATACAAACAACCATTTGTGGATGTGGATTCTATTAGTGTAGATATGTATATCAGATCACTTCATTTGATCAATTTGACATTTAATGCAAGTTATTTATCCATGTGGGAAGTTTCAAATGAAGGAATCATTAAGCTGCTGGAATGATATGGATCATGCCTCCATTGAAACTGGTTCTACTGCCTTGTGGTAAATTATATAATATCAAGAATTTTACCAAAGCATGTCATACATGTTGAATTCAAGTTTGTTGAATGTGCCAGTCAGTTCATTCATTCAGTGCCCTCTTCCTCCAGGAAGTAGCTAGCCAGTTTCTGGTTGCTTGCATTCTCAATCGTCGTCTAGTTGCTGCATGAACTGTAGAATATTTCAGGCCTGTCTGTTGTTCTGAGGCAATATTGTCAAGCAGCACACTAACCACTCTATCAGAAGTGTTGCCTTTCTGTAACAACTTATGTTTGACTGACTTCTGTCCCACTTAAAGCTCTCCATACCTTGGAAATGTTAGTCTGTCTTCATTGTGGTCATGGCATGTTTAACCATCAGTGTGGTTCTCTTAGTGTTCTGCTGATGTCAAAACTGCTTCGAACACAGTGTTTCTATTACTCGTATGTACCACTAAAATTGCTTATTATATCATGACCAGTTGACCTGAAACTTGTTTTCTATAACAGTGAACTTGGCTGCTATTTACATCACTTAGTAAGAGCAGTTATGCCTTATTTAAAATATAGGGTAATGTCTGATTATCCATTTGTTTCAAATAGTGTGGCTGTTCGGTATTTGTTGTGTTATAAACTTTACTTCAGAGGTTTGTCCACAGCTGATAGTATCACCATCTCCTTTAACTTGTATTTTTCAATTGAGATCTAAGGAACAAAATTGGGATGTATAACGTTTAGTAATTACTTATTAGCTTTAAACTTAAATGTATATTTCTTGAGTTTGCTAAGATCTTTTTGATTTCATTGTAATAAATTACGTTAGAATAATAACAATACTGTTTAAGGATTAAACGTTGTTACGTAGTTTTTCACTGATGCTGTTCTTGTAGCTTCTTGAAACGGGTACACTTCCAAAAAAAGGCAGCAAGTCAGATCCAGTCAACATCACTCCTCTTCATCTAGCAGTAAGTGATACAATGATCTAGTACTTGTTATTGTTATGATTTCACTTAAATAGTTGGGTGTATGTGTAGTTGTTCTACAAACTATTGGGTAAATTTGTGGTCATCTATGGCTGTAACTTAAATTTATTGTCATTATTTGTTTGCGATACCCGTGTGAACCTGTTTGAAAATTTGAAATTTAAGGTGATTTTTTTTTTCTTCAGATAAGCACCAAACTAGTGTTTTCACCTAAAATGAGAAACTTTAAATTTATTTTCCATAAAGCAGATTTCATTTCACAATAAGAATGATGTTTGAAAATTTGAAATACATAACATTGTCAGCTATAATTTCAAAATTTTTAGCTCATGGGAATGTATTATGCTGATGAATATGTTGAAAGTTTTTTTTTTTTTGTCTGTCTTGAATAAGATTATTAATATTTTTCCTTAAATTCTACTTTGTTAAAGGTAAAAAAGTGTTAGTTTTTTAATTATATTTTAAATACTGAAAAGCTGGTTCAAAATATTTGAAATGATTTATTCATAAATACGTTCTTACTTACCATCACGAATCTTTTATTTAACTTGCAAATATTTTAAATATTTATCATCATTCACGGCTAAACTTGGGTTAATTAAAAAAATTTTTCTTTCTAATTAGGCATACAATGGGCATCCAACTTGCCTTAGTCTGCTGACAAATCACTTCCTGGAACTGATTGACGTGGTGGATACCAGGGGTCGTACAGCATTAGATCTAGCTGCTTTCCAAGGGCACTTTGATTGTGTGCGAGTACTATTGTCTGCAGGAGCCAGTGTTCTAGTCCACGATCAAATCACAGGCCGCACTCCTGTTCATGCAGCAGGTATTTCTGAAATTTGATCTGACTACTACTACTACATTCTGTTTATTAAAAATTATGATTTAGCTTCTTTTTGAATCATATCAGTTAGGGTTTGTTTAATGGTAAAACTTTGTTTATTAAAAATGAAAAACATTATATGAAAGTTCAAATCCAAAAGAAGCTGCTGAAACTCCACTTATTTTGAGTATTAATAAAAAGTGTGCATGCTGTTCTAAAACAGACCTGATTTTAATGAAGATTATTCTTTAATTACATCATTTTTTCAGTGGAAAGTAAACAGTCTTCTCTGTATTGACCAATAAGTATATACAATGACGATATCTGAACACTACAATTCTTCCAGGTTACACACTGATTTCTTATACATTCATGCTGATTATTGCCTAAACCTTTTCTACTAAAAACTTACCTGGAAGCAAAATTAATTAGTTTATTTTTTTTTTTAATTTATGTCATCCGTACTTTTCATCAAATAGTGATGTCTTGCTAGAATATCTATCTGCTTAATTGCAACACAGTTCTAACAATAATGAAAAAAATTTACACTTTATAACAATGTGGCATGCTGCCTTATAACAGCACCTGAGTGTAACAGTAAACAGTTATTGACTGGTTATGAGGCCAATTTCACTTCTACAGGCAATAAATGGTTTGTTGCCAGCAAAGAAAACACCAGTCAATAATTGTTTTATTCTACCCCACCCTTTCTCTGTTTTCAGTTTTATAAAATCCGATTAATTAATGCTGTTGTATAGTATATTTAGTCTACATCTGTAAGCTTAGATGTAAATTTGTAGTTTAATATTTCATTACAGATTTTAATCTCATTTTAAGAACCAGTATATAAATCAGTACAATTTATCATTATTATTATTGATGTTTCACTGTCTCATGTGCAATTGCAACTGATAGGCCTATTCCTTTGTACATGTTGGTACTGATAATATGGTTATGAAGGGCACATGCTGATTTTATAGATCATGATAATATTTGTATCAGAAATAGTTAACTTAATTAACTAATTCAATATATTTATCACTGAATATGAGAATGCAAAAAGGATTGTACTTTCACTTGTTTATTCAAATTACAATAAATGTTTTAATTATGCACCTACCAAACTTCCGTATAAAATTTGCCTAAAATTCTGAGGTTTCTTACGTTGTCATCCACAGTTACACTCCATTTTGTGCAGTACTCCTCAAAGTTCCTATTATTATTATTTTTTTTTATTTTTTATTTTTTTTTGTCGTCGTCATCTGTGGCTAACTGCAATCTTATGCCAGATGATATATATCCACTATTATTCTACAGATTTGAGCAAATTTTTTGTAATTAAACCTAAATGAATTTGCCTGTTATCATTGTGCCGCAAAAAAACTGTCAGTGGAAAGTTCTGCTACAATGACTTGCATGCATGGCAATGTCCTTGACAACATTCATGTGAGTTGTTGAACAGCTTTTCAAGGCAACAGTGCAAATATTTCGTACCACATGATTTGCTCTTGGCTAATCATAACAAAGAATTCATGCTAGGAATATAATATTAGCTTAAAAGGTTATAGATTATTACTTTTATAAAAAAAATTTTAGAAATTATATTACTAGTATTGAAAACTAAAAGAAATAGAAATAGAATTTGAACTTGTTAACTAAGGATGAGCGGTAATTGAAATCTGATATAGGAAAAGTGAAATAATATGATCAATAAATTGCTTTAATGGATGTATTTTCTAACATCTATATATACTGTGAACACCTGGTGGTTTATTTGTTATTATTTTTTAGCATCTCAAGGACAAAAAGAGTGCCTACGACTTCTTCTTGAACATAACAATGCCCATGAAGTTGTTGATGCTGTGGATAGATATGCAAGGTTTGTAGCTAACTAACCTTTTAGATATTATGACCCAGGATGCAGTGGGTGGGTCTGAAAATATCGTATAGGTGATAGAATAAATATTTTTCCCAAAAAACTTAGATCAATGACACCTTCATCAACTATTATTGGAAACAGTGTCTTATATTAGCAGTAATAATGTTATTAGCTTTAACATTTTATTTTATATCAATAATAGCATTAGTAGCCTCTTGTGACAAAATGACAATCTAGAGCTCCCACAAGGGTGAATGAAGGATTCTGATTTTAAGTTTATAACACTTGGGAACAAATAAGAAATCTCGGGAATTTTGTATAGCTTATGTTGATATTCTTTTCATTCCTGGAAATGTTTTTGTGTTACATTATATCAGTCTAAAAGCCACAGAAATTTTCTTCTACAACAGCTTATTGGGTAAGCATAGTTATGTTTAGCAAATATAGTGTACAATAGAAAATTATCCAGTAACTCAGATCCTTACATTTTGAATGTTACTGTTATGTCTGTCATATTCACACAACACAAAAAAATAAATGAACTTATTATTTATTGAAAACAAATTATGTTTATTAGAAACAAGTTTACCTTTATCATGAATATTGCTGGCGAAAATGACAATGCTTAGCCTGATCAAGGTAACAGTAACACTAGTTATGATTTATATTAGGTTGTCAAGAAATTAATATCAAACAAAACATTTAGTAAATGAAATAGTCTCCATTCTTATCGATGATGCTTTTCCGTCTTACAATCAGGTTGTTAATGCCCTGATTAATGAAATCACTTGGCTTTGAAGCAAAAAACATGTCGATGGCCCCTTTAACACCTTCCACATTTGCATACATTTTCCCAGCGAATGAAAAAAATGGTAATCTGATGGTGCCATATCTGGAGAATATGGATGGGGGGAGAACTTCCCAACCCAACTCCATAATCTTGTGTTGCGTCAACCGTGCCACATGTGAACATGCATTGTTGTGGAGAAGAACACCTTTCCGATTGACAAGTGAAGGGCATTTCTGATAATGGGCTTAATTTAAACGTTCCATTTGCTAACTATAAATCTCTACATTGACAGTTCGCTGTGGATTGAGGAGTTTGAAATGAATTACTCGTTTGATGTCCCACCAAATGCAAAATATCACTTTCTGCAGATGGAGTCCAGGTTTTGGGGTCGGAAGTGGTTTTTGTCTAGGACTGAGCCATTGTTTTTGGTGTTTAATATTCGCATAGAGAATCCATTTTTCACCACCGGTGGCAATTATGTCCAAAAAATGGTTTACGCGCCTGAAGAGACGAAGCAACATTCACACGTTGGAAACGATGATCATTGGAGAGTTCATGAGGCACCCGAACAACTTCTTTATGGAGTTTTCCCATATTCCTTAGATGTTTATGTATTGTTTCATGAGAGAAATACAATTTCAGGGACATTTCATGAGGGTGTTGCTTTGGGTTAGACTCAACAAGCATCTTCAGAGCATCAATATCAATTCCAACATGTCAGCCCCTGCCATAGCTTTTTCCAATGGGAAATATTCATGCACTAAGATCATAAAGATATGTTCAGGTGAAGGATTTAGTATTTCCAAGATGGGGATATCCCTTGTACTTGATGATATTAGAAAATAAAAGTAACATGGATTAACTTAGGGAACCAAGAATATCCAGAAAAGACACCTGCAACAAGCTGTATTCAAATCATGATAGGAAAGTGTGGTATCTTGTAACAGACGAGAATTTACTATTCACAACTTACTGGCAAAAGCTGTCCACGTGTCCTAGGCAACAGTATGGAAAATTAACCAGCTGTTTCCACAAAATAAGCATTCAATCCTCATATACCTCAAGCAGCTGGAGAATAAAATCGTTATTCATCTTATTCCGTGTGAATTCATACAAGTTAAGTCATTGGAAACAGTGCTTATTGATTTCTATACAACCTGCATCTTGAAATGAGTTCTAGGAAACCATCTATCCTCGTATGTTAGATGGGTTATGGAAAGCAGGAAGGGAGGATAGTGTGCTTTGGACATGGCAGCCTCAACAAATAGGGCCTTCTGCAATAGAGACTATTCTGTAAAAATAATGTCAAAATGCACAGTAATCTAATAGAGTATGACAGGATGTGGTGATACGTGGACTGTCATGATGTGATGAGGTTCCAAGATTGATACATTTTGTCTGTGCATGCATGCATAGATTGATGTAGCTATCATAAAAGATTAAGCAAGATGTGAATTGCAGAGTTCACCTGAACAAAACAAAATTCCACAGGTTAAGGCTGCCATTGTTGTGTTCGGAAAACATACATAAAGTAAGTGTAGGAGAGTGAAAAATGGGATATTGGTTGATCTACGCCACATTTCTGCTCATCATCCACATTAATCTTGAAAGATGTTGCTGTTTTGTCTTCACTGATTTTGGAAGTAGGTTCTTGACTAGTATTATCTTTGGTTTCTCTACCGTGTGAAAACTCTGCATAGTTACATGCAAGTCCAACCCAGCATGTGAAGAGTAAAGGGTAAGGTCAAGAGACATGGTAGCTGCATCACCTAAGGATATTGCATTAGGAATACGAGAAGAAAAAGTAACCTGAGTCTGGTGAAATGATCCAGGACTATATTCATCAAGCCAATCAACTCACCTGTAAGAATAAAATACAATCACTATTATTTATTAGAAAAACTAACCTGAGCCTGGTGAACTGATCCAGGACTATATTCATCAAGCCAATCAACTCACCTGTAAGAACAAAATACAATCACTATTATTTATTATCTATTCTGAATATTTTATAAACACCTTTTCTCTATAAGGCTTCTATTAAAAACAAGCTATTAGTTTAAAATATGTTTGATTGTAATCAGTTAAACTACCTTAAAGATGGAAAATCTTAGTTTTATGAAAACTAATGTACAATGATTGATAACTTATCACAAACTGTGCAGAACCAAAAACACAGGTATATTTTGTAGTAAAATTCTTGGTTATGCAACATTTAAATTGGAAATCTGTTTGGTAGAACTCCACTGATGCAGGCTGCTCTACATGGGCATACAGAGTGTGTAATGTTACTCCTTAGACATGGGGCATCAGTCTCTGCTGTAGACACAAACAGACGAACTGCATTATTTCGAGGGGTAAGTGTTTTACTGTGACTTTCAAGTACAGTACAGTGTTAAGATTAGTGTTTCGTTTTTTAAACTGGGAAATAGGATAATTCTGTTTTTCTCGTAAGACTTTCTTGCGTACGGATAGCGTAACTTTCTCTTGCTGTTATGTAGTACAGATATTTTTGTGTATTTTTCTATCGTGTGTAATTCATATATTATCAAAGTAAGAGCAGTTTATAATAATGTTAAGTATATGTTTATTTTATTACAGGTATGTTTCTTACCTGGGTTGATTTGAGAAGAATAGAGATTTAACCAATATGGTATATTGTAGTTTGAAATGTTTTATACAGTAATAGGTAAAATGTAGTAATATTTCCATTTTAAACTGAACAGGTATCACCTTTGTTTGCTTAACATTACATGACCATTTTATGTAACCTTTTACACGTATAGTTGTATTCCAGTAATATTTATCCAATAAAAAAATTCAGAGTAAAGTGTAAATTTTAGGAAAGCATTCATTTTAATATATGATATTTTCATCATTAATCCTTAGCAAATTTTACTTGTAGAACATGTTTGTTTCTAAAATCCCCTACAGTGTACAAGGGGCCACGAATTACTCTATATATCAAGTGTTATGAAAGAGAAATGATCATAAGTGGTTCAGAAAATGTCTGACTTTTGAACCACGATTGTTTGGTGTTTATGAAAATGTCTCATTTTTGAATCATGATTGTTTGGTGTTTATGAAAATGTCTCACTTTTGAACCATGATTGTTTGGTGTTTATAAAAATGTCTCACTTTTGAATCAGATTGTTTGGTGTTTATAAAAATATCATTTTTATTTTTATAAACACCAAACAATCTGATTCGTCTTATCTTTTAATCAGGATTGTTTGGTGTTTATAAAAGTGTCTCGTCCTTGAATCAAGATTGTTTGGTGTTTATAAAAATGTCTCATCTTTGAATCAGGATTGTTTGGTGTTTATAAAAGTGTCTCGTCTTTTAATCAAGATGTTTGGTGTTTATGAAAATACTCTAAGGGAGCTGTCACTTAATATATAAAAATTATTTTCTATGTAGGCAGTTACTGGACATGAAGAATGTGTAAATGCATTAATTCAGCATGGTGCTTTTGGTGGGCACAGAGATATTCTTGGGAAAACACCTTTTCATCTTGCGGCTGCATGTGGTAATGTGGGAGTTCTTGGAGCTCTCCTGCAATCTCACCCGACTAATGGGCTGTTGGACAAAATGAGCTTCACCCCTCTTCACTGGGCATGTTACGGGGGTAAGTTGCTGACATGTTTTCTGTCCTTAGTTCACTGAACCAGGTAAATCACTCAACATTTACAACACCCCTCTTCACTGGGCGTGTTACGGGGGTAAGTTGCTGACATGTTTTCTGTCCTTATTTCACTGAACCAGGTAAATCACTCAACATTTACAACACCCCTTTTCACTGGGCGTGTTACGGGGGTAAGTTGCTGACATGTTTTCTGTCCTTACTTCACTGAACCGGGTAAATCACTCAACATTTACAATGACTGGTGGCAACTCTCTCTACTGAAAGTGTGTTTTTGCCACTTTCTTCGGTGACGTACACTGCCATATGATTATATATACTTTATTTGTTGTATACTGAATTAGGATTTAGATATGTATCTACAGACATTATCAAGTTAACAACGAAAGTTCAGTTTCTGTTTTGTCTTCTTAACTCATACTTTCCCCTCCATGTATTATTTATTTATATTTAATTGATTTTCATGCATTTAAAAAAAAGGATGAGACAATAACCATGATATTTTAGATGTTACCTTATGGAAAATTAAACTATTCCAATTTGCTCGGTAACATTAGAGTTGAAAAGCGTTGGATCTAAAAGACAGGGGGGAATAATGTTTATTAAACTTGTATAATGATTAGAATATATAAAGTCATTTACATTTATGGAAACATAAGTAGATTAGATACGTTTTATCTGCAAATGTGATAGTCCAGTGGTTAATCTGTGGGTCCATCATTCGCACACTGCATTTTGGGGCAGTGGGTTCATTATAAGGGTGACAATAAAATCTTTTATGGGTTAGATAGTATTTGCTCAGATGTTGGCAGTTGGTGCCGTTAACTCATTGCCTTTCCTCAAGTCTGTCAATTCAAAATTAGGGATGGCAAGTGCAGGTAGCCCTTGACTGTCTTTGCGGGAATATCTAAGATTGCAATAATATAATCTTAAATTGTGGCCATGAGATAAACAAGTATCTGTACCACGTAGAAAAGCAAACTATGATGATTGGATGTGATTGGTAGCCGATATGGTGTGTGACATACTTTCTGAAGAGAAATACATTAAGATAACAGTGTAAAGACAAAGTTTCGAAGAGGAAGTCTTTATTGATCTCAGTGGAAGTGGAAAGACTTTAAAGAGAAAGAGTTTAGACCATTAGCATGCTTGAAACTAACTCCTCAAGAACAGTACCTTTTTTATGCTAAATAAACGATACGTTTATGAAAAATACCTTTGGCCAAAAACCATTGTGAGGAAACTGGACATAACTGACACAAGTTAATAAGAGTTTGTAGTTGACAGATGCTCAAAGTGAAAAGTTGATAAGCTTCTAGGCTCAGTTCATTAACAAGGAAAGTGGGCAAAAAGCTGGAATCTCAGAAATTCAATTTGATAACCTCCCTATCAAGTTTCACAGATACAGCTCCAATGAATTTTTACTTGCTTAAGTATAAGCTTGAAAGTTGTTGACCTAAGACATTAGCCAATCTGCAGAAAGCTGCATGACATGACTATTTTCTGTTGAAACCTGTTTTTCATGGAAGCATTGCTTCAGGATCATTGTTAAGAAGCAGGTAAAAGTATGATTGTTGGGACAGTTTTCACTACTAGGTGGGTTTAATCATTGTTAAGAAGCAGATAAGATTATGATTGTTGGGACAGCCCATCTAGTAGTGAATTTAATCATTGTTAAGTAGCAGGTAAAAGTATGATTGTTGGGACAGTTTTCACTACTAGATGGGTTTAATCATTGTTAAGTAGCAGGTAAAATTATGATTGTTGGGACAGTTTTCACTACTAGATGGGTTTAATCATTGTTAAGAAGCAGGTAAAATTATGATTGTTGGGACAGTTTTCACTACTAGATGGGTTTAATCATTGTTAAGAAGCAGGTAAAATTATGATTGTTGGGACAGTTTTCACTACTAGATGGGTTTAATCATTGTTTGCAAATAGTGTAACTGACCTTCCCTTTACCTGGTAGATTTGAGTGCAAAAGTCACAAATTTGAAATTTTAGAAATTTTACATATTTCATCAAATTAAAAAAAATGGTCAGTTTTGACATGAAGATCAGTATTAGTTTACAAAGGTTTAAGTACAATATATTTAAACAATTTTAGATATACAAATTAGAAAGTCATGCGACAACCACAGCTGATATGAAATCAGTGGAATGGCATGCATCAGAACTATATTTTGGGATTTTTTTGGCATATCACAAGTAGTATTATGCCACCAAAAATTAAACACTTTTGGGAAGGGTATGTAACAGTCTTTTTCATCTCAAAATATTCATACATTCAGTTCATAAAGGTGTATTTGGATCAGGGATTTACAATTTTCAGGACAGGGATATCTCTTATACTTAACAACGTTGTCAAACAAGTGAGTATGGGTTAGCTTGGGGCACCAGGATCCATTCAGAATACGACCTACAACAAGTCATACCCCAGCTGTGGTAAGCAAAATGCAACACCTTAAAACAAGTAAGAATCCACAAACACAAATATCAGTGGCAAAAAGTCATTCATATGCCCCAGGCAACAGTACACAACATAATCAAGAAAGATCCACATTTCGAAAAGCAATGTACTCAAGATGCTTCTATGATATATTTTTTTCAACTATCACATACTTCAAGCAGCTGGAGAATATAATGGCAGCCATGCTATTCCACAACAATTCATATTGGTTAAGTTACTCGAAGCAATAGTTAAGGATTTCTGTGTGATTGGGATCTTGAAATGAGCACCAGGAAATAATTGTCCCCATACACCGTATGGCTTATGTAAAATCTAGTGGGAAGAAGGATGTGCTTTTAAAATGACAAGATTACAACAAAACATATTTCAATGGAAGATAGACTGCAGGGTTAGAATTAATTAACCTCTGTACAATAATGTTTTTTATATTATGCATTGTATTCTTGAGCTAAATATTGTTTGCAGTTGAAAAATTGTAATCAGTTGTTTACGGTTCAAGTCATGTTAATTGAAAGTAAAAAAATCATTAAATCTCACTTTAGAATTTTAACGTATAACACTTTTTGTCCTTTACGTACAAAAACATTGTGTGAAAGATGACAAACATATTTGAGCCCACAGAGATTAAGTAACTTGAATAAACATTATAGAGAAAAGGAGAGTGTCTTATTCAAATTAAAATATCCTACACTGTTGGATAAAATTCAAGTAAACTTGTATAACAATTTAATATATATTAAAAACCAAACAATGGTCATAAAAAAGGCACTCTTCATGTTTTCGATGACAGTAATGACGACATCGAAACATGTAGTGCCTTTTTTACGACTGTTGATAGGTTTTTTAAATAAAATTTTAACTGTATATTATACAATGTTGATTGTTGAGTATTTTAATACACTGTTGATTTCAGGGACTTGTAAAAGCTTAAAATTTTGTTTTTGAAATGATGAAAAAGCAAGTGTGTGTAAGATATGCCTAATGGACACTTTTTGATATAAGAATTAAGAACTTCCAATAATTGGAATGTGATGAATATCAGTTTTATTGATCAGAGAGTAAAAAAAAAACTTTCACATTTTGAAACCTGAACTGTATTAATAGGTTATTATTGTTCTTTACTGAGTATTGAGCAGTAGTTTTAAGTTTCTGTTTAGTTAATGTTCTTATGATATATACTTGTGTTTTGTGTATTTGTTCCTCCTGAATATATAATCTTTGGTAGGCCATGAAAGCTGTGTAGAACTTCTTCTTCAGCATGGCAAGAGCTCTAGGTTGTTTGGGAATACATTTTCTCCGCTTCACTGTGCAGTGTAAGTTTCCTTGTTTTTATATGATGATTATTGCATGTAGATGAAATAATATTTTTGTTTTCTCTCTTACCAACCATTTTAAAATGGAATTGATACATAGTTTTAATTAAACACGTTGATATTTAGAATGTTATTGATAAGAATAATTCTTTTCCTATTTTGTTTCAGTAAAACTTTTTTATAACATTAGTATTAAATTTTTTAAGTAATAATCATTTTTAAGTGAGGGAGAAAAATAAATGCAAAAGGTATGTTGTATCCGAACAGTTTTTAAAGTGGAGATTTTAAAAGTTGTTTGCTTGCTTCTGTATGAAACCACAGCACCTATTACGTCTTGCTCAGAGTAACAAAGAAACATAGTTTATATTTTGCCCATTGTATTACTTTGTAACTGTTTTTCTTGTATTTACTTCTTTGTAGTAATTTTAATGTTGAAGAATGTGTAGTTATTTAGTTGATAAATTGGATTTATCTGTAGCTGTCTGTGAAAAAAGTTTCACATGTTATGTGTAACTGTGCTCTTTTTCAAACAGCAAGCTCCGCCAAAAAAAATATCCTGCTATTTTACGTATTTGTAATACTTCTTATAATTTGTATCATCAGAATGCATACTTATATGTTTATTTGTAAAACTTCTAACCAGTCTGGGATACTATAATTTTGTGATAGGAGTAATGCATGTTTGAATGAAGAATGTTTTTCACAGCAAAAAAAAAAGAAAACTTCACACAGTAATTCCCATAAAGTGTCAAACCAACACTTTGATGGATAAAAATGTATATGTTTTATATTTAAAAGTGAGTTATACTAAGTTTTGGTTTATCTTCTACAAAGTTCTTACCAAATAAAAAATAGTGTAATTGTACGCATCACACCTCCTCCTGATGAGTTTGAAAGTACATGATATAGACTGCTAAAGTAAACGTATCGTAATAATGTACGTAATGATCAAGGTAATAGTCTCCTGAAGTATATAGATAGATGAAACTGTTATGATTCAACCCATTCTATAAATTCTATAATATATTTAAAATATCTTAGATTGGGTCTCGGTTACCCAACGTTATTGACTAATTTATTTTGAAAAATGTAACAACATTAATAC